ATTCAATGTTTTGGCACCTAAAAGCCCCTGAATGCCCTTAGGAAGACAATATTGCTATGTTTTTGAACACTGGGTTGTTTTAGATACAAGAAATGTCTTTTTTGCAGCAGAAAATGAACTGGAAGTCTAATTTCAGTTAACTTATTTTTGAGAAGAAGAAAAAACAACCTTTCCTGAGCTTTAAATGGTTTAGCAATGCCTGAAATGTGGTAATACCATCCAGAGGACACTTGGGGAACATAAACACTTTTTGGGTTCTAGGAGCCATTTGCATCTCGTGGGTCTCACTTTCACATTCCCTGATGTAGGTTATTAAGAAAATACATTTGAGGTGCTTAGAGAAATTTGATCACTTCAATGCTGGTGGTCTTGGCTTCTTCCAGCACGCTGACATTTGTCTGCCTGACTTCCCAAGAGATTTGCAGGATTTTTCAGAGGCAGCACTGATGGAATTGTTCAAGGAGTTGCATATGATGTCTGTAGATAGTCCACGTTTTGCAGGCATATAACAGGGTTAGGAGGACAATAGCTTTATAAACAAGTGCCTTGGTATCCCTACGGATGTCTCAGTCCTCAAAGACTCTGCAAGATAATCTGGGATAAGAAGATAAGCTAGGATCAGATCCTGGGATACTGGAGCAGTGTGGAAGGGGCCCTGGTGACCACATTCAGGTGAAGCTCAAAGCAAATGTTTTTTTTAAGGTCCTGTCTTGCAACTGTTGTTGACCTTTTCTTTAACAGCATCTTCCATCAAAGTACTTCTCCATTTTCTCCTTTTACTGTTCTGTAGTGAATGTGATTTTAGATCCAGACACAGCACATCCCTTCCTCATCCTGACTGAAGGTTTGACCAGTGTGAAGTGGGAGGACAGATACCAAGACCTGCCTGACTGCCATACAAGATTCAACCGGGAATTCTGTGTGTTGGGCCAAGAGAGATTTGCTTCAGAAAGACATTGGTGGGAGGTGGAGGTGGAGGAAGAGAAGGGGGCAATGTGGGCCCTGGGGGTCGCTCGAGAGTCTGTCAGGAGGAAGGGGATTTTCAAATTTACTCCAAATGAAGGAATCTGGGCTGTGGGGAAGAGGCCATATGACTCACCTTCACCTTGTCGGCTCTCCGTCTTAAACTCTCCTGAGTGGGTCCCTTTAAACTTGAGCCATGAGCCTAGGAATATCCGTGTGTCCCTGGATTTTGAGGAAGGCCGGCTGGTATTTTTAGATGCAGATACAAACAAGTTGATCTTTGCTTTTTCTTCAGTTGACTTCCGTGGGGAAAGGATCCAACCCTTTTTCTGGGTGGGGTCGGGGGTCCAGTTGAACCTCTGAATACTGAGGGTAATCTGTGTCATTGTCATTCTCATTCTGCTTCCCATTCAGCTCTGCATCCTATTCTTCAACAATTATTTAACTGTGCAGATTCAGTCATCCCTACAGATTTCCTTTTTTTACTTTTGCAGATTTGATTATTCATGGATTTGAATCAAATGTTTTCTCCAGAAATCTCTAGGTCAGTGCTTCTCAACCTTGGGTCCCCAGATGTTTTTGGCCTACAACTCCCAGAAATCCCAGCTAGTTTACCAGCTGTTAGGATTTCTGGGAATTGTAGGCCAAAAACATCTGGGGACCCCAGGTTGAGAACCACTGCTCTAGGTCTTCCAGTATGACTGTATGAGCAACTTCTTCTGGTCAGGCTAAAGGACCTAGAGATATCTAGAGAGAACACATTTCTAAGAATCTCTAGGTCCTTAAATGCAATTCTGTGGTCAGCTTCCAATGGAACCAAGACATTCCTAGAAAGGTGTTCTCTTGATAGAAATTAATAGCAATGTATTTATCTGCATTGTTTCACTTTCATGGGGTTCCTCTGCCCCTAACCTCAATAAATGTAGAAGGTTGACTGGATGCTTGACTATTGCATTTCATCCTGCATCTGAAGAAGTGAGTAGTACAATGGTAATATCATGTGAGCTCGTATTATGCAGTTTCAGTTACCCACAAAAACTCCATCCATGGATAAGGGCAAGTTGAGTGGAACATCAGGCCATCCTCAGTAGGCTCCTGAAAGCCTCCTCTGCTTTGGGTGCCTCTCTCTGTCAACAAAGGAACTTGTCATTGCTAAGAGAAGAGATGGAAGTCTGGCTGTGCTTCTTCCACAGAGAGGGGAGTCCTTCTCCTTCCTCTGCAGAGAGAAACAACGGAAATACCAGCTATGTTTCCCTTCCTGGCAACCAAAAACACAGTTGGGCTTTGGCCACTTCTCTCCACAGAAGAAAGAGATAGACTTCTTTTTCATTGTAGGCGCCAAATTAATCACTTTTTTGTTTTAAAGGTCAAATTATGTATCTCAAGAATGATTTAGCAAAGCAAGTTGAAATTATTGGAAAAAATTATGTTGACTAAAGCTAGAACATATATTTTGAGATGTTTGATATTATTGTGTTTATTATGTAAATTCATATAGGTTTTTAAAATAAATATGTTACAATTGTGTCATCATTTCACTTGGCTTTATTTTATCCTAAATCCTGTACAGTGGTTCTCAATCTTTCTAATGCCGCGACCCCTTAATACAGTTCCTCATGTTGTGGTGACCCCCAACCATAACATTATTTTTGTTGCTACTTCACAACTACAATTTTGCTACTGTTATGAATCATCCTGATATGCAGGATGTATTTTCATTCATTGGACCAAATTTGGCACAAATACATGATATGCCCCAATTTGAATACTGGTGAAATTATGATTTTGTCATTTGGGAGTTGTAGTTGCTGGGATTTATAGCTTACCTACAATCAAAGAGCATTATGAACTCCAAAAATGTAATGTTCGTTTGTGGGATTAACATAACTCAAAAACCACTGGGCAAATTGACACCAAACTTGAACACAATAAACCTATCAGGCCAACGAGTGACCATCACTCACAAAAACATTGAAAAACACAGCAGAAAAGACTTTAAAAGTAAAAAACAAAACAAAAAATACATTACAATGCATGTGCAAAACACATATATATACACAAACACACATATATACCATAATATATACACACATATATGGATATACACACACACCAAATACATATACACAGAAAGGGGAGGGAGGAGGAAGGAAGGAAGGAAGGAAGGAGGGAATGAAGGAAGGAAGGAAGGAAGGAAGGAAGGAAGGAGAGACAGGAAGGAAGGAAGGAAGGAAGGAAGGAAGGAAAGAAAAGGAAAGGAAGGAAGGAAGGAAGGAAGAAAGAGAGGAAAGAGGGGGAAGGAAGAAGGAATAGTTTGTGGGATAATTCAAAAACCACTGGATGAATTGACACCAAATTTGGAAACTACGCCCTTATCAGACCAACAAGTGACCATCACTTATAACCTCGCCCAAAAAGGAGCAGAAAGCACTTAAAAACCCCAAAAAATCTAAATGACAATACAGAAAAAGGGGGGAAGGAAGGAAAGAGGGAGGGAGGGAAGGAAGGAAGGAGAGAAAGAGGGAGGGAAGGTTGGCCACAGCAACGTGTGGCGGGTACTTACTTACTTACTTAGGCGATCCCTCGTTGGACGAGTAAGATGGTCTTCCATGATGGGTTTCCTTGTGGATTCGTAGGTGGTTGTGGAGCCCTATTCTTGACCCGCATCTTCTCTCACAGTGAAGGCATTGGTTTCCAGGTGGAAGGCGGTCCCGATTGGGGTTGGCTTGATGCGCCTTCCTCCTGGCACATTTCTCTCTTTCACCCTCCACTTGTGCCTCTTCAAATTCTGCAGCACTGCTGGTCACAGCTGACCTCCAGCTGGAGCGCTCAAGGGCTAGGGCTTCCCAGTTCTCAGTGTCTATGCCAGAGTTTTTAAGGTTGGCTTTGAGCCCATCTTTAAATCTCTTTTCCTGTCCACCAACGTTCCGTTTTCCGTTCTTAGTTCGGAGTAGAGCAACTGCTTTGGGAGACGGTGGTCAGGCATCCGGACAACGTGGCCGGCCCAGCGGAGGTGATGTTGGAGGACCATCACTTCAATGCTGGTCTTTGCTTCTTCCAGCACGCTGACATTTGTTCGCTTGTCTTCCCAAGAGATTTGCAGGATTTTCCGGAGGCAGCGCTGATGGAATCGTTCCAGGAGTTGCATGTGACATCTGTAGACAGTCCATATGTCACAGGCATATAGCAGGGTTGGGAGGACAATAGCTTTATAGACAAGCACCTTGGTATCCCTACGATGCCCCAGTCCTCAAACACTCTCTGCTTCAATGTAATGTCGACGGCTTTCATGGCCGGAATCACAGGGTTGTTGTAGGTTTTTTTGCTATATGGCCATGTTCTAGAGGCATTTTCTCCTGACGTTTTGCCTGCATCTATGGCAAGCATCCTCAGAGGTAGCGAGGTACTCTCTGCTTCATTCGTGAAAATGCTGCACTTGCAGAGCTCAGGCGGTGTTGTATTTCGGTGTCGATGTTGACTTTGGTGGAGAGGTGGCTGCCAAGGTAGCGGTAATGGTCAACATTTTCTAATGTTACACCATTAAGTTGTATCTCTGGCATTGGAGAGGGGGGTGGCTGGTGACTCGATGTTCAGTGACAGGCCAAGCTTCGTGTATACAGCTAGTACAATATAAAATATAAAACCACAACAGAAACAATAAGCAACAGCCAGGAGAGAGGTGTTTTTAAAGTCTCCTCCTCAGTCTCCTTTCTCCTCTTAGCTGGCTTGGGAGGGGGAGAAGCAGAAAGACGTCCTCCTTTTCCTCCTGAGGTGGCAGGCAGATGTAGTCATAACCTCTGAGGATGCCTGAAATAGATGCAGGCGAAACGTCAGGAGAGAACGCTTCTGGAACATGGCCATACAGCCCGGAAAACTCACAACCACCCGCGCCTTGCTTGACCAAGGACCTCTTCTTCCATCTCCTGCTGCTTCCTCCAGACTTGTCTCTCCTCCCTCCCCCCAGCAGCTCCTAGTTCCTCCTTCCTTTGCAGAAGCGAAAGTAAGCCAGGTTTTGGGCTTCCTTTGGTTGCTTCCTCGCAGGGAGGGCGGGCAGCCATGGCTTGCGGGGCTCCTTTGCGGGGTCTCTGCGAGGAGACCACTTGCCCGGTTTGCCTGGAATACTATGCGAACCCTGTGACCACCCACTGCGGGCACAGCTTCTGCCGGGGCTGCGTGGCCCCTCTCTGTGGGGGCCCACGGGGGACCTTCAATTGCCCTCAATGCAGGGCCTCGGTTTCTCCAAAGAGCCTCAGGCCCAACCGACACCTGGCCAACATTGTGGAGATCGCCAAGAGCTTGCAAACTGGAGGAGGAGGAGGAGGAGGAAGAGGAGGAGAGAAGTGGCCGGCTTGCCAGCGTCACCAGGAGCCCTTCAAGCTCTTCTGCAGGGACGATGAAGCCCCCATCTGCGTGGTCTGTGACCGATCCACGGAGCACAGAGGCCACTGTGTGGTCCCCATCGACGAAGTGGCCCAGGAGTACCAGGTATGCACTCTGGGCAGGAGGGCACCAAACAGCAAGGCCCTCAGCTAAGGCAGGGCTTCTGTGTGTCTGTGTCAGGAGCAACTTGAGAAACTGCAAGTCGCTTCTGGTGTGAGAGAATTGCCGTCTGCAAGGACGTTGCCCAGGGGACACCCGGATGTTTTGATGTGTTACCATCCTTGTGGGAGGCTTCTCTCATGTCCCCGCATGAGGAACTGGAGCTGACAGAGGGAGCTCATCCACACTCTCCCCAGATTCGAACATGCGGCCTGTCAGTCTTCAGTCCTGCCAGCACAATGGTTTAACCCATTGCGCCACCAGGGGCTCCTGAAACTTAGGAATAAGACAACTCTAGGTATGTAACAGGAATTTTGTTCCTGGTTTATAAATATCATTTCCTAATTGACTCTATCTTAAAACATGGGGAAAAAAGTTTATTAAACTGCCAAAAAACTTTGCGGGAGGGACATCCTGCACCACATTTCGCTGAACTTTTTCAAATATCTCCTAGAGCAGGCATGGGCAAACTTCGGTCCTCTGGGTATTTTGGATTCCAGGGACAAAGTTTGCCCAAGCCAGTCTCAACCAATTCAACATAATTTGTGACAGTCACAAAAACGAAGTTTCTGGAGTACAACTACTAGGATACGGAAACAATGGCTTCAAACTACAAGAAAGGAGATTCCATCTGAACATGAGGAAGAACTTCCTGACTATGAGAGTCGTTCAGCAGTGGAACTCTCTGCCCCGGAGTGTGGTGGAGGCTCCTTCTTTGGAAGCTTTTAAACAGGCTGGATGGCCATCTGTCAGGGGGCTGGGCTGGATTGCCCATGAGGTCTCTTCCAACTCAATGATTCTATGATTCTACTTTCAAAGTAAGTACTGCAGGAATACCCCAGCAAGCGGGAGCTCAAAAGTGGCAGGCTAAAACCTGGAACCTCAAGACATGGCTGATACTGGATGAGAGAAGGCTGGGCAACCGAACACACAGAAGACTGGGCAACCGAACAGACTGTACTCTTGCACTTCAAGATGCAGAACCAACCTTACGACTGCTTCAAATGTGTTCCTCTTTCCTTGCTTGCAGTTTATGCATTTCATAGAATCATAGAGTTATAGAGTTGGAAGAGACTTTGAATACTAGTGGGTGTTTGGGAGAAATTTATACACTCCATAGAATCATAGAATCAAAGAGTTGGAAGAGACCTCATGGGCCATCCAGTCCAACTCCCTGCCAAGAAGCAGGAATATTGCATTCAAATCACCCCTGACAGATGGCCATCCAGCCTCTGTTTAAAAGCTTCCAAAGAAGGAGCCTCCACCACACTCCGGGGCAGAGAGTTCCACTGCTGAACAGCTCTCACAGTCAGGAAGTTCTTCCTCATGTTCAGATGGAATCTCCTCTCTTGTAGTTTGAAGCCATTGTTTCGTGTCCTAGTCTCCAGGGAAGCAGAAAACAAGCTTGCTCCCTCCTCCCTGTGGCTTCCTCTCACATATTTATACATGGCTATCATATCCCTCTTCAGGCTATGTTGGGAGTTGTAGTTCTCCCACATCCAGAGAGCACTGTGAACCCAACCAGAGATGGCTCTGGACCACACTTGGCACAGATACTTAACATGGCCAACTCTGAATACTGGCAGAGTTTAGGGGGAATTGACCCACAATATTGGAAGTTGTGGTTTACCCACATTGCTATGCTTTTTCTAATGGATGCATTCATAACATAGCAGTGGAACTCTCTGCCCCGGAGTGTGGTGGAGGCTCCTTCTTTGGAAGCTTTTAAACAGAGGCTGGATGGCCATCTGTCAGGGGTGATTTGAATGCAATATTCCTGCTTCTTGGCAGGGGGTTGGACTGGATGGCCCATGAGGTCTCTTCCAACTCTATGTTTCTATGATTCTATGATTCTATAACATTGAAAACCAAACAATGACTACTTCTAAAGTTTTTCCTTTAAAAGTCCACAACCTAGGCATCGCCAGGTAGCTTAGGTAGTGGGTATATAAAATAGATATAGCAATAGGAGCCCCTGTGTTAAACCACTGAGTTGCTAAACTTGCTGACCGAAAGGTCACAGGTTCGAATCCGGGAAGTGGCGTGAGCTTCTGCTGTCAGCACCAGCTTCTGCCAACCTAGCAGTTCGAAAACATGCAAATGTGAGTAGATAATAGGTACCGCTCCGGCGGGAAGGTAACAGCGCTCCATGCAGTCATGCTGGCCACATGACCTTGGAGGTGTCTACAGACAACACGATCTTAGAAATGAGATGAGCACCAACCCCCAGAGTGACACGATGGACTTAATGTCAGGGGGAAACCTTTACCTTTACCTTTTATAGCAACCAAACATTTACTGATAATCAAAGTCAGCATTTGCAAGGTTTACTAAACAGGCTGATTTTCCTTGAAGCATTTTCTGTGGAGTCCACAGTAAGCAGTACACAGATTCTTCTTGATGTCTAAGACAACACTGGCATCTCAAAACCTTTTACTGTTGCCATTTTTGTGACCCCAAGTATATCTATATAAATAAAAATGTAATGTTTGTTTGTGGGATTAACAGAACTCTAAAACCACTGGACTAATTGACACCAAATTTGGACACAAGAGACCTAACAACCCAATGTATGTCCTTCACTCAAAAAATTGATTTTGTCATTTGGGAGTTGTAGTTGCTGGGATTTATAGTTCACCTACAATCAAAGAGCATTCTGACCCCCACCAACGATGGAATTGAACCAAACTTGGCACACAGTTCTCCCATGACCAACAGAAAATACTGGAAGGGTTTGGTGGGCAGTGTCCTTTGGTTTTGGAGTTGTAGTTCACCTGCATCCATAGATCATTGTGGACTCAAACAATGATGGATCTGGACCAAACTACACGAATACTCAATATGCCCAAATGTGAACACTGGTGGAGTTTGGGGAAAATAGAATCTTGACATTTGGGAGTTGTAGTTGCTGGGATTTATAGTTCACCTACAATCACAGAGCATTCTGAACCCCACCAACGATAGAATTGGGCCAAACCTCCCACAGAACCCCTATGACCACTAGCCATTTTTGTGACCCCAGGTATATAGGTACATAAATAGGTGTAAAATCAAGCATTTACTAATCATCATTTGCAAGGCTTGGTGAACAAGCTGATTTCCCATTTTGTGGAGTGCTGCTCCACAAAACTGCACGTTGTTGCTAACAGATTTGTGTTAATGGGTTTGGTTTTTTTTTTTGGGTCGTTTCAGGAGCAACCGCTCCAGTTGTGAGAGAATTGGCCGTCTGCAAGGACATTGCCCAGGGGACGCCTGGATGATTTCTGATGTTTTATCTCCTGTAAATGGGTGGCGTTTGGATATATTTTTCATGATCCCAACATTGAACAAAGGGGGAATCAGGATCCACAGCTTAAGAAGATGTAATCTAGGGCTGTGGCTCCCAGTCAGCTTTTTAAGTAAACTGCTTCAAGTCATGTATTGAGCCCCAAACAGCCTTTGCAACTCATCTTCATGGAAAGTATGTTTCAAGCTTGAGACTGAGGTCCCATCTGCACTCACCATTTCATGCAGATTCAGACCGATATTGAAGAAAATAGTTTCGCCGTGCCAAATTCATGAAACTAGTTTGAGATGGATATGGGGATTAACACGAATTATAAAATACAGATGTGAATTATTAATGGTTTTCTTTTGCTCCCTATTGTGAGAGCTTTTTGTCAAACTGGAATTCCAATCCAATCTACAGAGTTACAGTCCAAAGCTCAACTCCCTACACCCCACTGATCTCTTTCAAGGACTATGTGTGAATACTATCTGTGCTTTTTTGGCATGCAACAAAAAAGTTGCCAGAGGTCATTTGAAGCCTTTAATTCTGCAGTAGATAAAACAACCTGATACTTACTTATGCGATCCCTTGTAGCTTGAGGTTGATGGTCTTCCAAGTCTGGTGTCTTGACGGTGGGTTCATAGGTGGCTGTGGAGCCCTATTCTTGATCCACATGTTCTCCTGCAGTGAGAAGATCAGTTTCCAGACAGAAGGTGGTCCTGATCAGGGTTGGCTTGGCATGCCTTCCTCTTGGCACATTTCTCCCTTTTGCCCTCCATTCTTGCCTCTTCAAATTCTGCAGCACTGCTAGTCATAACTGACCTCCAGTTAGAGCGCTCCAGGGCTTCCCAGTTCTCGGTATCCATGCCACAGAACTACCTGATAAGTGTAATTGTGTATGTGTTTTTAAGTCACCTATGGTGTTATGGAAATCTCATGAATTCATAGGAGCTTTTTTGTTAGGGAATATTCAGAAATGGTTTTGCCATTTTCCTTCCTCGTAAATATAGCTGAGAACATGAATGGGAGACTGCCCAGGTAAGTCTCCCATTCATGTTCTTACCAGGGCTGACACTTCTTAGCTTCCAAGACCAGGTAGAATCTGATGTCTTTAGGGTGCTTATATTACAAGATAAAATAATAATAATAATAATTTATTTATACCCTGCCACCATCTCCCCAGAGGGGACTCGGGGCGGCTAACATGAGGCCAAGCCCAAGAGTTACAATACAGCAAAGTAAAATACAACAAACAAATAATAACATCAAATAAATGCAAACTATAACAAGTATACAATAAGCCAGGGGTCCTCAAACTAAGGCCCGGGGGCCGAATATGGCCCTCCAAGGTCATTTACCCGGCCCTCGCTCAGGGTCAATCTAAGTCTGAAATGACTTGAAAACACAACAACAACCCTATCTCATCAGCCAAAATCAGGCCCACACTTCCCATTGAAATACTTGTTGTTCATTCGTTCAGTCGTCTCCGACTCTTCGTGACCTCATGGACCAGCCCACGCCAGAGCTCCCTGTCGGCCGTCACCACCCCCAGCTCCTTCAAGGTCAGTCCAGTCACTTCAAGGATGCCATCCATCCATCTTGCCCTTGGTCGGCCCCTCTTCCTTTTACCTTCCACTCTTCCCCAGCATAATTGTCTTCTCCAGGCTTTGCTGTCTCCTCATGATGTGGCCAAAGTACTTCAACTTTGTCTCTAGTATCCTTCCCTCCAGTGAGCAGTCGGGCTTTATTTCCTGGAGGATGGACTGGTTGGATCTTCTCGCAGTCCAAGGCACTCTCAGAACTTTCCTCCAACACCACAGCTCAAAAGCATCTATCTTCCTTCGCTCCGCCTTCCCTAAGGTCCAGCTCTCACATCCGTAGGTTACTACAGGGAATACCATGGCTTTGACTATGCGGATCTTTGTTGCCCGTCTGATGTCTCTACTCTTTACTATTTTATCGAGATTGGACATTGCTCTCCTACGTTTTTATTTGTTAAAATTATTCTTTTCATTTCATTTTAATTATTGTATTGTTTTAAAGTGTTTTTTTGCACTACAGATAAGATCTGTACAGTGTGCATAGGAATTCATTCTTGTTTTTTTCAAATTATAATCTGGCCCTTCAACAGTTTGAGGGACTGTGGCCTGGTCCTCTGTTTAAAAAGTTTGAGGACCCCTGCAATAAGCAAACACAACTTAAAGTGGTGGAAGAATAAAAACAGAGTGGGGGGGGGGGGAATGCACAGGCTAAAATTGATAAAACCCTGGATGAGATAGGTAAATGGAGTAGTGTGTGTCTAAGGGGAAAACTCAGAAAGGACGAACAGTGGGGTTGACATTCACAAATGGACGAGAGAAAGTGCATCAGGTGGACAGATCTATAAGTGTTCATTCATCAAAGGCACACCGGAAGAACCAGGTTTTTAGGCCTTTCTTAAAAACTGCCAGAATTTGGGCTTGCCTGATCTCACTGGGTAGCAAAGCCAAGGGGGACAATGGAGAAGGCTCTCTCACTCGTCCCCACAAATCGTGCTTGCGACAGGGGCGGGAGCGAGAGAAGGGCCTCTCCGGAAGATTGAAGGGATTGTGTCGGTTCGTAGAAGGAAATGCCTACCAAACCATTCAGGGCTTTGTAGGTAAGAACCTGCACCTTGAATTGGGACCGGAAGATATTGGGACCGGAAGTCCAATCCAGAGGTAACTAAGTCATGGACCACCATGGCCAGATCAGACTTCACAAGGTAAGGTCGCAGCTGGTGCATGAGTTTTAATTGTGCAAAGGCCCTCCCAGCCACCGTCGACACCTGGGCATTGAGCGAATATTTGTCAGATCGGAAGTTGTATTTCTAAGAAAATCCCTGATGGGTTTCAGTTGGAGTAAGCAAGGGCTTCTTATTTTTATTTTTTTCAGGATAAAATCAAGGCCCATGTGAAGTTTCTGAAGGATGAGCGAAAAAATCTTGAAGACCAGACATTGGCAAGACAACAGAGAGTGCAAGGCTACTTGGTAGGTGGTTGCTATGAATAGATTATGTTTGGATTGTGTGTCAAAAGTTAGAGTCACAGAATCACAGATTGATAGAGTTAGAAGAGACCAAAAGCCTGGAGGGCCAAAGTTTGCCCATGCCTGGTTTAGGTGCCCCCTTAAGTGTACTATTCCCATAATCAAACTTTATCATCAGTCATACCATCAGCTGTGACTGTTGTAGGCTCTTCTCTACCTTCTCTTTTCTGAATCTCACATTCTTCCTCTGATCTTCTTTTAATGTCTATGTATTCCAGAATCAGTTAGAAACAGAAAGGGAGGCGGTTGCCTCTTTCTTTGAGGAAATGCAGACATTTCTGGAGGAGAAAAAGCACATCTGCCTTGGTCAGCTGGGAGGGCTGGAGAAAGAAATAAAGAAAGGAGAGGAAGAAAACCTCACTGAAGTGGCAGCAGAGATTTCCCAACTCAATGAGAGGATTGCAGAGATGGAAAAGAAGTGCCAGCTGCCTGCAAGTGAATATCTCCAGGTGAGAATTAAACCAGAAATGCTTTTTAGATTTCCTGAAATTTAGTATGTGTACTTGGCCCTCCGCATTTGCGGGTTAAACTTTCTCAAATTTGATTCTTTGCCAGTTTTGATTAATATATTCTCTCTAGGAATCTCTAGGTCATCCAGAGTTTTGGAATTCGGTGTCATCTCTATGCAGATGACACTCAACTCTACTACTCTTTTCCACCTAACTCTAAGGAAGCCCTTCGGATACTAAAGAAGCCCTTCAGAGTCCTCCAGCGTGACACTGTGGCCAAATTCCACCAGAAATTGTTTGCATTCTAGAAGTCATAGAAATTCTAAGAGAGAACATCTCTTCAATAATTTCTAGGTCCACCAGTGTGATCTTTGGATAACGCCTGGCTGGAATTTATCATAAGAGTTATTCTGGATAACCTTGATATTTGCAGGCAGGTGTTCTCTTAGATAATAAATAGCATTTTAAAATCATTTTCCCACTTTTGTGGTGGTCCTGTGCCATGAAAAAAGTGGAGGGCCTCCTGTATAATGGGGCTGTGGTTAGCACAGCGGGTTAAACCACCAGGTACAGATAATCTTGTTGACTGGAAGATGGACAGTTCAAGCCACAAGTCAGGGTGAGTTGCCATCATCAGCCCTAGCTTCTTCTTACTTAGCAGTTCGAAAACAGCAATGTGAGTAGATAAGTAGGTACCACTTTGGCGTGGAGGTAAAAGGTGTCCCTGAAGACATTCTGACAATTCAGTCAGGAAGGCGTCCATGGACAACAGGCTCCTCAGCATGGAAAAATGGAAGAATAGCATCTCCCTATGGCCCAGTCAAGCACAGTCTTCAGACGCCAGAAATGAAAAAGAGGGAAGCCTTGCCTCTGTCTATGTACTGTCTGTCGAGGAGATAGAGTGGAATATAAAGTATATTATTATTAAAGTATATTGAAAATTTCTTTTCAATAAACAAAGAAAATGCTGGTAGGTGAAGAAAATGACTATTCAGTCTATGAGACTCATTTCTCCCTTTCTTTCAGGACATCAGAAATACCTTAAGCAGGTACGTCCCTTGTTTCCACTTTACCTTGATTTTTCTATTATTTTGGTGTAGAGATTTTGGCTAGAGAGTTTCATTCTTTTCAGCACTGTATGAGCTTACTTTTGTTTTGCATTGCTTTTGTTTTAAATTGTTTACTATTAGTCCCCTTTGGGGAGACAAAGCGAAGTATAAATAAATAAATAAATAAATAATAACTATTATTATTAATATTCAACCAAAAACAAGATGTGACACTCTGTTTTAATACCAATTACTCTCTTTACATTTACACGCAGGTGCCACCTATTCCCAATTCAAAGTAGTGCATGAATACAAATATTTAGTGTGCATATTTGTGTTTCTAAGTTTATCTGTGTTTATGATGATTATTGACAGAATATGCTATGTAACAAAATGTGATTTGAAAGTGTTATTTCCTGTTTAGTTCTGTGTTACTTTGAAAGTAGTTGTTCTACTCCAGAAACTTCTTTTTTGTGGCTGCTACAAACTATGTTGAATTGGTTGCGACTCTATGAGAATTTCATTGGAAAAATATATTAAAATGTGCTGCAGGATGTCCTGCAAAAATGAAGTTTTGGCAGTTTAATACACCTTTTCAATGTTTTAACGGTAGAACCAAATAGGAAATGACATTTATAACCTAGGAACAAAAGTCATGTTACATAGTGTTATCTGGTGTTGCCCTATGATATTTTAATAGGGATTTTAATAATAATAATAATAATAACAACAACAACAACAACAACAATAGGTTGTTATAGGTTTTTTCGGGCTATATGGCCATGGTCTAGAGGCATTCTCTCCTGACATTTCGCCTGCATCTATGGCAAGCATCCTCAGAGGTAGTGAGGTCTGTTGGAACTAGGAAAAAGGGTTTATATATCTGTGGAATGACCAGGGTGAGACAAAGGACTCTTGTCTGCTGGAGCTAGGTGTGAATGTTTCAACTGACCACCTTGATTAGCATATAATGGCCTGACAGTGCCTGGAGCAAACTTTTGTTGAGAGGTGATTAGATGTCCTTGTTTGTTTCCTCTCTGTTGTTGTGCTGTTGTAATTTTAGAGTTTTTAAATACTGGTAGCCAGATTTTGTTCATTTTCAAGTTTCCTCCTTTCTGTTGAAATTGTCCACATGCTTGTGTATTTCAATGGCTTCTCTGTGTAGTCTGACATGGTGTAGTCAACACTAAAATAATAATAATACACTTTATTTATATCCCGCTCTACCTTCCTAAGGGGACTCAGAGCTGATTACAATATATATATATATATAGAGAGAGAGAGAGAGAGAGAGAGAGTCAGAGAGAGAGTAAAACATTGAATGCTTTTCATGGAGTGAACAATGACATACAATGCACAATGCTCAACTCTAGCCATGGGGAGGTGCTCTTGTTCCATTTTTCCATGCTGAGGAGCCTGTTGCTAGCATGGTTGCATGGGCACTTTTTACCTTCCCGCTGAGGCAGTACCTATCGATATACTCACATTACATGTTTTTGAACTGCTAGATTGGCAGAAGCAAAGGCTAACAGCTGGAGCTCACCCTGACTCATGGCTTTGAACTGCCAATCTTTCAGTCAATAGTTTTTCTGTAGCTAGCAGTTTAACTTGCTGTGCTACCGTGGCCCCTAGTATCCACCTTTTAAAAATACTTAAATATGAAATATATAAACATATACAAAGCTAATAATCTTGTTGACATCTAACAACACTATATGAATCTTTATTAACTGCTTAGCCTGCTGTTGAATGATGTAGGTATCTGGACTTCAACTACATTTTATTGTATACCCAAAATTTGAATACATTCACTTCTAGGTACAAAAAGAATTTACCTGCGCATGGGCTGGACCTTTCTCCCCAATTTGAAGAGAGTGTCAGAAGTTATTTCGAGCAGATCTCTGACCTAAGAGAGGCTATGAAGGATTCTCAAGGTAATTGGGGCAACCAAAGGAGAAGCTTGGCTACAGATCTAGAAGTGGGTTGCAGTTGTTATGGCCCTTGAAAACGCTGGGTGTGTCTACACTAGGCATGGGCAAACTTTGGCCCTCCAGGTGTTTTGGACTTCAACTCCCACAATCCTAACAGCCTCAGGCACTTAAGTAGCTGAGGGGGAAAAGGAAGGGGCCTGAGTATGTTAGGAATTGTGGAAGTCCAAAACACCTGGAGGGCCAAAGTTTGCCCATGCCTGGTCTACACAGTAGAATGAATAAGTTTCACTCTGGTTTAACTGTGATGACTCAAAGTCCTCAGCCTTTTGTGTGACCATCATTCTGTCTCATTTCTACACATCAATGAGAGGCAATGGGCGGGAAACCTTTTCTTCCCTTACTGGTTTAAACACAGGGGGAGGGGGATAATTTATGTATTCCCTATCTTATGTATTCCCTATCTATGGGAATGATCTCTGCAGTTTCGTCCAATATATGTGTTCTAGAATTTTTTTTTCATTTTTCCAGAGCAACTCTGTGGCATATTTGTGCCAAAAGTCTTTGAGTTTAATATGCTTGGCTATTATCCATGGTTTTGCATATCCATGCACAGTCCAGGAATACATCCCATGCAGATACAGGAATTGAATTGTACTGCTCCAAAAGCTTTTTATTTTAGAGTTGGACAGAGTTTGGATTGCAAATTACGCATTCACTGTTCAACAAAAACAGTGTAGTTTGATCAGTTTGGGTTGTTGTAGTTTTTTCGGGCTATATGGCCATGGTCTAGAGGCATTCTCTCCTGACGTTTCGCCTGCATCTATGGCAAGCATCCATAGATGCAGGCAAAACGTCAGGAGAGAATGCCTCTAGACCATGGCCATATAGCCCGAAAAAACCTACAACAACCCAGTGATTCTGGCCATGAAAGCCTTTGAAAATATAAGTTGATGTTTGTTTGTTTCTTTTAATTTATTCATTTTCCCTCTTGCCTTTATCTGAGTGTGGGACCCAATGTGGCTGAAAGTCAGCCTAAATGAGCACCCACATATATGGATTAGCATATGCGAATTGGATGGAAATATAATGAAGATCATAGAATCATAGAATCAAAGAGTTGGAAGAGACCTCATGGGCCATCCAGTCCAACCCCCTGCCAAGAAGCAGGAATATTGCATTCAAATCACCCCTGACAGATGGCCATCCAGCCTCTGTTTAAAACCTTCCAAAGAAGGCGCCTCCACCACACTCCGGGGCAGAGAGTTCCACTGCTGAACGGCTCTCACAGTCAGGAAGTTCTTCCTCATGTTCAGATGGAATCTCCTCTCTTGTAGTTTGAAGCCATTGTTCCGCGTCCTAGTCTCCAAGGAAGCAGAAAACAAGCTTGCTCCCTCCTCCCTGTGGCTTCCTCTCACATATTTATACATGGCTATCATATCTCCTCTCCACCTTCTCTTCTTCAGGCTAAACATGCCCAGCTCCTTATCATCAGTTGCAAATCTTTTCAGCATCTTGATAGGCTAAATGTAAACAAGCAGACATGCTTGCAAGCAGCAAGGCCTTAATTGAAATGTAGATCTGACAACAATTTGCATATGACAATCTCAAGCATTTTGTGTCTGACCCAGGTTGATTTTATCATATTTTCTTCCATCTAAACAGAATCTCTGGAGCAAGCTCTGAAAACAGCCAGCTGGGAACACAGTCTCTTCATGGGTAATTTTGAATGTCTGAAAGAAAAGGGATTTTTAATGGGGAAAAAATTAAATAATAATAATAATAACAACAACAACAACAATAACAACTTTTTTTTATATCCCACCTTTCTCCCTGAGGGGACTCAGAGCAGATTACAACATATAAACAGACACAGGCAAACGCCTGGGAAAATCTTTTGTTGAGAGGTGTTAAGATGTGCCTGGTTGTTTCCTCTCTGCTGTTTTGCTGTTGTAATTTTAGAGTTTTTTTAATACTGGTAGCCAGATTTTGTTCATTTTCATGGTCTCTTCCTTTCTGTTGAAATTGTCCACATGCTTGTGGATTTCAATGGCTTCTCTGTGTAGTCTGACATGGTGGTTGTTGGCGTGGTCCAGCATTTCTGTGTTCTCAAATAATATGCTGTGTCCAGGCTGGTTCATCAGGTGCTCTGCTATGGCATTTTATTTGAGAACACAGAAATGCTGGACCACTCTAACAACCACCATGTCAGACTACACAGAGAAGCCATTGAAATCCACAAGCATGTTGACAATTTCAACAGAAAGGAGGAAACCATGAAAATGAACAAAATCTGGCTACCAGTATTAAAAAACTCTAAAATTACAACAGCAAAACAGCAGAGAGGAAACAACCAGGCACATCTTAATACCTCTCAACAAAAGTTCCCCCAGCGCAGCCAGGCCTTCAAATGCTAATGAAGGTGGTCAGTTAAACATTCACACCTAGCTTCAGCAGAGAAGAGCTCCTTGCCCTTTGCCCCACCCCAGTCATTCCACAGATATATAAACCCATTTTCCTAATTCCAACAGACCTCACTACCTCTGAGGATGCTTGCCATAGATGCAGGCGAAACGTCAGAAAATGCCTCTAGAACATGGCCATATAGCCCGAAAAAACCTACAACAACCCAGTAATTCCGGAACCTAGTGATTCCAGCCATGAAAGCCTTCGACAATACATTCAATGCCTTGTTACAATGAAATACAATGAGACACAAATACACAAAGGCAAAGGCTTCTCCTTTCATTTCTAGCTATGGAGGTTGTGCTCGTCTCTAGCTCTGGGGAAGGGCTCTTCTCCATTTCCAAGCCTATGAGCCTGTGTTGTCTGTAGACAACTCCTGGTTGTGTGGCCGGCATGAGTGCTTGGAGTGTCTTTTTGCCTTTTCCTGTTTTAGCGGTACCTATTGCTGTACTCACATTTGCATGTTTTTGAACTGCTAGGTTGGCAGGAGCTAGGGCTAACAGCAGGAGCTCACCCCAGCCTATGGATTCAGGTCAGCAGTTCAGCAGTGCAAGGGCTTAACCTGTTTTGCCACCATGGCCTAATTGAATTAGAGTCTGAGGTTGCATCTACACTGTAAAATGACTCCAGTTCGACACCACCTTAACTTGAATTTTTCAATAGTATGGAATTTTGGGGACTGTAGTTTTATAAAATCTTTGGCCTTCTCTGCCAAAGAGTGCTGGTGCTTCAGCAAACTCCAACTCCCATAATCCCATAGTATTGGGCCATTGAAGTTAAAGTGTTTGCTCAACTGCATTCATTCCACCATATGACTCTGGAGGTGAGAGTTCAATTTTCCACTGAGCCCTGAGATTCAAACTGGGCAGGCCACTAGCTTTGCGCCCCAAAATACTATGATATGGTCACTACAAGTCAGAAATGTTGTAATAGCAATAACAACAGCATTAATAATATTTCTCCACCAACTGGAAAAGGATCGCCGAGCACTTTTTTTCATACACTCAAGATGACTGAAAGTTCAAAACTGTCCAAACTAGCAGAGGCTCCCAAATGTTACACCTCCTCTGAAATTGCAATTCCACAAAAGTAGAATGGATTTTTCAGTCTCCTTTTTCTTCTTCTTCAAAAAAAAGAGGGGGGGGGGGTGAGAAATAATCACAGTGGGAAAAAGTGGAGGGTTTGAAAGGATCCCCCACACAAGAGCCTATGTACAATGAATCCAGTTATGCCAGGGTTGTCTTAACGTTTTTTCTTCATCAGCATCTTCATTTTTATATCTTGCTCTTTCTCCCAAAGCTGAACTCAAGGAGGTTCATGAGGAACGTATGGTATAGAACTCCAATCTGGCACATCTCCCTTTGGTTTTAGTTTTTCACCCCTGCTCCAGAGCAAAGATAATCTCCAAGGACTCAATGGGGGTGGAGACGTAGATTTGAAGGAAAATGGTATTTCACTGAGATAGGAACAACATATGATGAATCAAGACTAATCTCTTGAAAAGAAGTCTCTGTTAACCCTCAGAGACCATGTATCAGAATAATGAATCAGGGAGAAGATTGGCTTTTTTGCTTCTTTTTTTTTCTTAGGGTTTAATTTTTTGCTTTCTTCCCTCCCTATCAACAGATTCTCTGAAGCAAGGCATGAATCAAGGTAATAGGATGAAAGGAGCACATAGATGTAGAAAACTGCTTCAAAAAATACAAAGCACAATCACAGTGTTGGAAGAGTATTTAATGCTTGCATACATGATATTTTAATGTTAATAGATATCTTTGTGTTGAATTCTGCATGGCTTTGTTCCAACCATTGTTCCCTTCCCTTCCTTCCTTTCTTTTTGCAAGGAGAGGATTGGAGATTTACAAACACATATCGAACTGGGTCTCAAGTGTTTTCTTCAGCCAGCAGTTTCACTCTAAACTTCACTTGTGTTTGCTTGAAAAAGGGATTAAAATCATAAGAGTTGGAAGGGATTCCAAGGGCCATCAAGTCCAACTCCATTCTGTCAGGCAGGAAGACGCAATCCAAGCATTCCCTACAGATGACCATCCAGCCTCTCCTTAAAAACCTCCATAGAAGGAGATACCACCACACTCCCAGGCATCGTATTTCACTGTTGATTAGTTCTTACCATCTTCATGTTCTAGACCAGTGGTTCCCAACCTGTGGTCCATGGACCACCAGTGTTCCACAAAAACAAAAATATGGTCTACAGCCACACCATTACTATACCATTGCCTGGAACCTCGTGGCAACAAAAGCAACTGGTCTTGCAAAACCCTCTTATAGTGCCAAGGCAACTGGGTTGTTGGGAAGGGAAAGGCTGACTGCTCACAAAAGATTACTACTACCACATCAGCTCTAGATTATTAAATATGGTTTTCTGTGGATGATAAGATGGTGACTACTGGATGACATATGTCCTGTATCAGAAACTAGAGCTGATGTGGTTTATCCAATGCAATTTTCTGAATCAGCATCCCAAATAACCAAACCGAATCTAAAGTTGACCAAAACCTTTTGGTACTAATGTTGGTGAGTGGTGTCTGGTCAAAGTGGTCCCTGGTCAAAAAATGGTTGAGACTGTTCTAGACTAGGGAGCTGCAGAAAACAAGCTGGTTCCATCTTCGATATAGTATCAATTCCTATAGTTTGAATTAGGAGTAAAACCAGATGAAAATGAGCTCAGTTAAAGTGTAAACAGAGGTCACCTTTTAATTTTGAGCAGAGAAGAAAAGAAGTGAAAAAATTCACCATCTTCTATGCTCAATTTCTATATATTCTGTTCTCTCAAAACCCATCTCTCTTTGAACTAGATTTACTTCTGATATTGGGACCAGATAGGGATCGAAATATCCTTGAAGCACCAGCTCCCATCCGATGTTGTAAGCTAGGCAGGGTCATCTCTGGTTAGCAGTTGGATAGGAGACCAGCAAATCCCAAGCTGTATTTCAGGGCTGTAGACTGTACTTTAGAGGATGGAACCAGTAAAATATTCCTTGCTTAAGAAAACTCAATGAAATTCATGAAGTCACAATAAGTCAACAGATAACTTGTAGGGATACAAACTCTGGTATTTTTCTTTTTATGCTTATTTACACCCCACTTTTTCTCTCCACAAAGAGACTAAAAAATACATAAGACATACCAAGTTAAAATATTAGATGTTAACTATAGAATGGCACTGGAGGACCTATAAATGGCTAGAGAAGTATTCTCTCTAGTTCCTCCAGTGCAAATGTGGAAGGCAGACTGTACGTCCAGGATCCAGATAAATAAATCTATAGATAAGGAAGTTTGGAAAATGACTGTTCATCAGTAGAGTCTTCATTTAGTCATCCAATGTGGGTAGATTCAGATGAGGTCTGGATGAAGATGGGTTCTGGAAGTGACTCCTCAGGAGCTGGCACAGCTTTTCTGAAAATCCACCACTTTTATTTTCCTTCTTTCCCTCTGCTACAGTAAGCGTGACTCTGGATCCGATCACAGCACATCCTCGACTTTTTGTGTCAGAGAATCTGAAGGCTTTGAGATGGGACAGAATACCTCAAGACCTGCCTTATCGTCCGGAGAGGTTCAAGAAACAGCCCTGCGTTTTGGGTCAGGAGAAATTCACCTCAGGAAAGCATTGTTGGGAGTTGGAGATTCTGGAGGGGGAAGCGGTGGGAAAAGATCTGGGGGGAGAAGCAGCTTGGGCAGTCGGGATTGCAAGAGATTCCGTCAAGCGGAAGGAATATTTCAACCTTCATCCTGATGAAGGGATCTGGGCTGTGGGGAAGGCATGTGAGGACATATCTGTGCCTTGCCAAGTCTCAGCTTTTACTGCTGAGCCAATGACTTTGGTCTTGAAGAACGAACCTAAGAAGATTCGTGTGAGCCTGGATTGTGAAACAGGTCAAGTGGATTTCCATGATGCTGATACCGATGACCTTATCTTCTTTTTTAGCTCAGCATCATTCTTTGGGCATCAGATACGACCCTTTTTCTACACAAGAGGGTGGGAGTTCAATTTGAAGTGCTGACTCAAGAGAAGAACCATCTCTTTTCATTAGTTCCCCCAAATATTGGTAGTTTGTGCCCACTAAGGGTGTGTCTTCACTGTAGAATGAAAACAGTTTGACTACACTGGAATGGCCATGGAAACCCTGATATGTAGTTTAAGAAATGAGGAGGACAAGAGCATCATAAAAAATTGAAACACATGGGATATAGTAAAGTCAAAGATTTATATAATAAAATAAGGAATTAATGGAATTGAAGCAATTAGAAACATTAGGGAGTGGGATAAATTGGTTAACACTAAGAGGAATTTGGGAACAAATTAAAAAGGAAGAAAGTAGTAAGGGAGAAAATATAATAGACAAGATATTAGAAGAGAGATTTGGAGGCTAAAGGGACTTAAAATATATGGAAGAATGAGAGAAGATAAAGAATCTTTGTAAAGAGTACAGGAAAACAAGTGGGAAAAGGAATGAGGCCTAGGAAAAAAATAGAAAAGATAATCAATAGTTTAAATAAAATAAAAATAGAAAAAAACAAGGAATTAGAACTGAAAATAATAACGAAATGGTATAGAACACCAATTCAGCTGGCACATATGATTCAGGGATTAAATCCCAAATTTTGGCATTGCAGGAGTCGTGAAACATGGTATTTATTCACATCTATGGTGGGAGTGTGAAGAGGTACAAACATTCTGGAATCAAATTCTAAACCAGGTAGAATTACATATTAAAATAAAATTTGATATAAATATGCAAATTTTGTTAAAAGGGATATATGATGATAGAAGAATTAAGTACAGGGTGACAAAGACAAAGACTGAGATATAGCTTTTATTCTAAGAGCTGTGGCTATGTTGACCTCCATGGTTTCACATCCTGTGTCATTGGGGGGCTGTGTGGTGGTGGTTGGGGTGTTGAGGGATGGGTGTGTTGTTGTATGATGTGTGCTGGGGAAGGCATTTAAATCTCGTTGTCTTCGTTGGTATAGTCTTCAGAGAATAATGTTATATTCCACATTTATTTTCAGTCATTTGAAAATACAATGCAAGCGATTTTGTGTGCAAATGGGCATCCCGTTCTAGCTTTTGATTGAAAATGGGCACATGTCATTTGATCAGTGAAACAATATGATTCTCCTGTATTAATGCATTTTACAAGTGACTGCAAATCAGAAATAAAAATATATACCCATTGTAATTGGAGATCGTGTTTGTATTGTTTTAGATATTTTCCAGTGGTGGATAGGATAATTCAAAATGCTAGGATATTCATATGTGTAATTGCAGTTAAGTCTTGCAGAACTTCCTTTCTAAATACAAAATTACTGTAAGCACAATTTGAATTCTAGGATTGTATAGTCAAGAAGCTTCTGCATATGAATGTTTTGAATATTAGCATGGACGTCCAGTTACATTTTAAAAAGATACTTTTTCCTCATGCAAAAATACTGTTTCTAAAAGCTCCTGCCAACCTTTTTGTGTAAACTTTGTGCATTTTGGTTGGCTTAATGAATATATGATCACATTATTGTTTCTGAGAGTGCTGAACTATGAATCCAAAGAACAGGGTTTGAATTCCTACTCAGCTCAACCATTCCCTCCTGTTTGGCCATGAAAACTCATTAGGTGACATTGGACAAGTCACACTCCCTCAGCTTCAAAAGGAAGGCAAAGCCAAATCCTTTCTGAACACATCTGGCCAAGAAAACCTTGTGATAGGTTTGCCTCAGGGGTCTGAAGGCAACTATGCAGGGTAGACTTAAAGAATTGGGTATGCCCATGACTTTGATTGAATCTATCCATCCGGAATGAGCTCTTCCTCTTTTTCTATTTACTGCATTTACTTTACAGAACAGTATGGTCTCTTCTAGAGAGTCATGTCTTCTTCTATGTCCATGGCTTTTAGTATCCATGGACAGGTCCTGGAATCAAACCCCTGTGGATCCTGAGCCATTGTCCTAAGGACCAGTGTGGTTTGAATGTTGGGCTCCAGATGAACAGGGTTTTAATCAGTGCCTGACCACAGAATCCTACTGGGAGACTTTGGGCATGTTATACTCAGTCCCCATATGGAGGCCCTTCCACACAGCCCTATATCCCAGAATATCATGGTAGAAAATCCCACATTATCTGAGTGTGGAATCAGATAACCCAGTTCAAAGCAGATATTGCGGAATTTTGTGCCTTGATATTCTAGCATATAGGGCTGGCATATAATTCACAAATGCAACTTTGAAAAAGGAGATGGAGAGCCTGGTTCTGGCAGCCCAAGAACAAGCCATTAGAACAAATGCCATCAAAGCCAGAATTGAAAAGTCAGTGACAGATCCCAAGTGTAGACTCTGCAAGGAGGCAGATGAAACAATAGATCACATCCTCAGCTGCTGCAAGAAGATCACACAGACAGACTACAAGCAGAGGCATAACACCGTTGCTCAGATGATCAGCCATGGCTTGAGGTTCTGAGTTTTAGCCTGCCACTTTTTGACTCTCACTTGTTGAGGTGTTCCTGTGAGTATCTCTGTCGATCTTAGGGAGCTATTTCTTGATTTAAGGTGTTGGCGTGCTGGCTGATATCCGAACAGAAAATGGACCGGAGATGTCATTGCCTTGGTCCTTTCACTATTGGCTGCTACTTCCTGCAGATGTCAGGTGGTGCATTACTGACTAAACAGTGTTGTTAGCATCCTCTGATGCACATGTGAGGCCACGCTGAGTCCCCCTTGTGGGGAGAAGGACGGGATATAAATATATTAAATAAATAAATAAATAATTTCTCCAGCGGTGTAAGGCGAAGACATCCTGTGATAATGCGGCATGTCTCATTAAGAGCCACATCCACTGTTTTAATGTAGTGAGATGTGTTCCACAATGGCCATGTGTACTCAGCAGCAGAGGAGCAAAGCACAAGGGCACATGTCTTCACTGTATCTGGTTGTGATCCCCAGATTGGGCCAGTCAGCTTTTGTATGATATGGTTTTTAGCCACTTTTTTTTGTCCTGTCAGGAGCGACTTGGGAAACTGCAAGCCGCTTCTGGTGTGAGAGAATTGGCCATCTGCAAGGACGTTGCCCAGGGGATGCCCGGATGTTTTTTGATGTTTTTACCATCCTTGTGGGAGGCTTCTCTCATGTCCCACATGAGGAGCTGGAGCTGATAGAAGGAGCTCATCTGCGCTCTCTCCGGACTTGAACCTGCAACCTGTTGGTCTTGCCGGCACAGGGGTTTAACCCACTGCACCACTGGAGCCTCCTCTCACCACTATGGTACACTGACACTCCCTACAGAAAACCAATGAGTAAATCTTGCAAAACAAAAGAAAACAAAACCTGCCACGCAGTAGTGAGTATCTTCACATTGTTTGATTGCTCAACAAGTCCTTGGGAAACAGAGCACCTTAACATAGATAAACTGGCTCACAATTGTATGGTGATTAAAGCCTTTGTGAAATCAAGAATGAAAGAGAGGGATTGACTGCCAGATGAACTCTGTTTAGGATCTGTATATAGAAATGCAAAAAACTGCAGCAAGGAAAGGAACATATTTGAAGCAATCAGGATTCTCAGGAGCAACCCCCTTCTTTCAAGGATGTAATCAGTAAGCATGAGAGAAACTGCAGACTGGAGCCCTGGCAAATGGAGTTTGTTAAATGCAGATCTTCCCTTTGCTCTGTAAATAGCACCATCTATGAAATAAAATGCCTTAGTTTAAACCCCAGTGTTACTCCAATTAGAGTTTGCTGTTGCTCCTGTTGTGGGTCTTCAAATCCTTTCCAACCTGTGCTTTTTCAACAATTTGTATCATTTATAAAGACTTGCAGTTTCTCGAATCACCCCTGACGTGACAAAAAAAAAATTAGAAAGAAAATAGTAAATGTAAAAATGTGCTGGTTTTGAAGATCAGGTAAATTATTGCGATAATAAGATAGAATAAATAAGTTTTAATGAGATGACCTACTTGTTCTCTACAAATTGGTAGGGCCCAAGAAAAATGGGGACATTTTACCTCTAGAACAATATTATTATGTGTATTTCTATCCCAAACAAACTGACTCAAAGCACTTAACTTGAAAAAAGAAAATTTTAAACATGCAGAAATAAATGTGAAATGAATCCCCTGGTGGAGCAGCCGGTTAAACTGCTGAGCTGCTAAACTTGCTGATCAAAAAGTTGGCGGTTTGAATCTGAGAAACGGGGTGAGCTCCCACTGTTAGCCCCAGCTTCTGCCAACCGAGCAGTTTGAAAACATGCAAATGTGATTAGATAAATAGGTACCACTCCTGCGGGAAGGGAATGGTGCTCCATGCAGTCATGCTGGCCACATGATCTTGGAGGTGTCTATGGGCAATGCCAGCTCTTTGTCTTGGAAGTGGAGATGAGCACCAACCCCCAGAGTTGGACACAACTAGACTTTATGTCAAGGGGAAAACTTTACCTTTAATCCACCTTATTACAATATAAAAGGAAATCAGAACAAGGGAATAAAATAGAGTAAAAATATAATAATAATAATAATCATCATCATCATCATCATCTTTATTTATACCTTGCCACCATCTCCCCAAAGGGGGACATTGAAATGTTAGGTTTTGACCTAAGACAGTTGCATGGGGCATGGCCTCAATGTTTTTCATCTATCATGAAAAGAATCTCTTAAAAACAAGTCAAACAATATAACTTTCTGAACAGAGACTGTATGGCCATCTGTTGGGAGTGCTTTGATTACACATTCTTGCATGGCAGAATGGGGTCGGACTTGGAAGGCCCTTGTGGTCACTTCTGATACTAGGAATCTTTAAAAAACTGATTTTATCAGATGTCTGACTTTAAAAGGCATTAGCATGCTGGTGAGAGGAAACCTACATAAGAAGCCGAAGTTCCAAACAATAGTGCAACTTCCTTGGGAATTTGGGTTGCGTCTATACCAGGTACACGCAAACTTGGGCCCTCCAGGAGTTTTGGACTTCAACTCCCACAATTACTAACAGTCTCATGTCCCGTCCCCCCCCCAGCAGCTTAAGAAAGTGGCCTGAGGTTGTTAGGAATTGTGGGAGTTGAAGTCCAAAACACATGGAGGGCCCAAGTTTGCTCATGCCTGGTATACAGTGTAGAATGGATGCATTATGACACTGCTTTTACTGCCATGGCTCAATTCTATGGAATAGAATCAAAGAGTTGGAAGAGACCTCATGGGCCATCCAGTCCAACCCCCTGCCAAAAAGCAGGAAAATCGCATTCAAAGCACCCCCGACAGATGGCCATCCAGCCTCTGTTTAAAAACTTCCAAAGAAGGAGTCTCCACCACACTCTGGGGCAGAGAGTTCCACTGCTGATACTAAGTGCTATAGTTTTCCAGTCTTTTCTTTGGAATATTAAGTGCTATAGTTTTCTGAAGTCTTTTCTCTGCCAAAAAATGAAGGTGCCTCAACAAACTACAGCTCCCAGGATTCTGTAGCCTTGAGCCATGGCAATCAAAGTGATGTCAAACTGCATTCATTCCACATTGTAGTTCCACCCAATGGCTTATTGCCAGGAAGCCTGGGATTGGTGCACTCCTTGGCAAAGAAGGCGAATTACCTTGGAAAACTACATTCCCAGGATTCCATAGCACTGAGCCAAGGCATTTAAAGTGGTGACAAACTGCATCCATTCCACTGGGTAAATGCACAATTAGAGAGAGGATTGTCCCACTTCTGTTTCTGATTGGCTGGGTAATCTGACCAATCAGAGAGGAGAAACTCTTCCAACTTTCTTTGAGGCAGAAAAGAGAATTTCTTTTCCTTTGGGATTGAGCTGCAGCAACAACAACTGGGGGCATTGCACAAAGATAAAGGTTAGTTTCATAAGTCTTTGGGGACTGTTGTCTTGCAATTAATGTTCCATATTGTGAGTAGGAAGGATAAAAGTCTCTTTGGGTGCACCCACATTGTAGAATTAATGCAGTTTGACTCCACCTGCCATGACTCAATGTTACAGAACCATTGGAGTTGTAGTTTCACAAGATCATTAGCCTTCTCTGGCAAAGAGGGATGATGAATCACAAGTTTACAACCCTAGCATTGATCCATGGCAAAGTGGTGCCAAACTGCATTTAATCTACAGTGTGGATCCACCCTTTCTCAGAATTATTTAATTCAATGACTAGGGAGGAAGGAGAATTGAAACTCAATGCAGCCTGTCCCTCCAAAATATATGCACTCTTTGATGTGGTTGCCTACTAGTGGTTTCCAACTGATTGAGTCTCTATCAGGGTTTTCTTTCTAGATCTATTCAGAGAAGGGATTTGCCTTGGCCTTCCTCTGAAGCTGAGAGAATCACCCAGTGAGGTTTCCTTAGCCAGGCATGGTTGGCCATCTGTTGGGGGTGGTTTGATGGTGCTTTTCCTGCATGGCAAGGGGTCTCTTCCAGCTTTATGATTCTAGGAAAAAAATAAGAAAAAATGGAACAGACTTAACAAAACTTTCAACATTGATTGATATTTATACATGAGCTTTTTTGGCCATCAGTCCACTTCATTAGATGTGGTGATACCGGCAGAATTACAGCCACAGGGTTTTAAGGAAAGTTACATAGATTTGGAAGCAAAGTAAAAGGTAAAATGGTTTGTTGTAAGCCACCCCAAGTCACTTCAGGGAGAGAGGGTGGGATATATATAAAGATAATAATAATAATAATAATAATAATAATAATAATAATAATAATAATAAGGATGTCAAAAGGTAGACATGGTAACCTTGGCCATACATTTTTCAAACAATCATATCAGGTGACCAGGTATTTTCAAATTCAGAAAAGAACAATACTTTTATTTGCTGACCAGTCCTGTGTGCCAAGTTTGGTTCAATTCCATTGTTGATGGAGTTCAGAATGCTCTTTGATTGTAGGTGAACTATAAATCCCAGAAATTACAACTCCCAAATGTCAAGGTCGGGTGATTTGAATGTAATATTCCTGCTTCTTGGCAGGGGGTTGGACTGGATGGCCCATGAGGTCTCTTCCAACTTTTTGATTCTATGATTCTATGATTCTAATGCTATCTATCATTATACTCCTGCTTCAGGAGTAAACAGCCATGGGGACAGAGGTTCCAATCCAAGCTCTCTGCACAGAAATTACTTGCCCGATTTGCCTGGACTACCTCAGCTTTCCCATGACTACTGCCTGTGGGCATAACTACTGCAAAGCCTGTCTCTTGGAATACTGGACAGAGTCTAGAGGACCGTTTCCATGTCCTCAGTGTCGAGAAATGATCCTGGAGAACACGTTCAGGGTGAACCGACATCTGGCTCGTATGGTGGAGCACATCAAGGACCTTCAGGAGAAGCAAAAGGCCAAGAGGAAGAAGGGGGAATGCGAGAAACACGAGGAGCCCTTCAAGCTTTTCTGCAAGGATGACGAAGCCCCCATCTGTGTGGTGTGCGACAGGTCCATTGAGCACCGACATCACACTGTGGTCCCTGTACATGAAGTTTCTGAAGAATACAAGGTATGAAATCATTAGGATGGATGGGAATTACAGTTGGCCCTCTACATTGTTTGATTTTTGTGGATTTCATTGCCTTATGTAACACAATTTTTGTTCCTGGGTTAAAAATATCATTTTCTAATTGTTTTCTATCATAAAAACAAGGAAAGTGTTTATTGAACTGCACAAACTTTGTTTTTGCGAGACATCCTGCAGCACATTTTGCTATAGTTTATCAATGAATATTTCATTGAATCTCAACCAATTTAACATATTTTGTGGCAGCCACAAAAATGAAGTTTCCAGAGTAGAACAACTACTTTCAAAATAAGTATTGCACAATTAAATGGGAATAACACTTTCAAAGTAGGAATAGATTTTTTTTACAAATTTTGTTACATACTGTTATTGATTGATTTGATTAAAGTGTTCTCTCTTAGGATGGATCTACACTGCCCTATATCCCAGGATCTGATCCCAGATTATCTGTTTATCCCAGATTATTTGGCAGTGTGGACTCAGGGCTCTTCCACACACCCATAAACCCCAAAATATCAAATCAGAAAATTCCACAATATCTGCTTTGAACTGGATATTCTGAGTCCACACTACCATATATTCCAATTCAAAGCAGATATTGTGGGTTATCAATTTTATCCTGTGCATTTGGCCTGCCTATTGAGTTTTATTTCTCTGTCATGCTATTTTGTAACTGTTTATTTTATTTTGTTATTTTATGTCTCTTATTTTGATGTTATTTTTGTTTCTTTGTATTTTATTTGGCTTTACTGTAATTTTGGGCTTG